TGAGGAATGCATGGCTCTGTGATTTGGAAATTTAAAACTGCCCTTTCTTTAAGTAACTAATCACTTTCTATGGTTAAAAAAAAAAAAAAGGCAAAAAATATTCCAGTCATTGTTCTGCCCCAGCAGCTGCTTTTAATGTTTTGAAATAAATACATACTGTACAGCATCGTCTTACCATGTCCTCACAGGAACTCCGTTTCAGAGTCAATGCATAGAAAAGCACTGCTTAGGATTTACAACAAAAATCTAAAATGCAGTCATTGGTCAACACCAGGCCACGCTATAAACGCTTCCTTTCTCAAGGACGAGAGGCGTCCTCACGGCATTCCAGTAACATTTATGTCTTAACTGTAAGCTCAGTCCAAGCTCTAATCAACTCACCTTGGTACAAAAACAAGTACACCATTTGTTCGAATTGAGTAAATAACACCATCTGCTATGCAGCGCTCATCTGTTTCTGGGGATTTGTCTTTGAAGTACATGCACTGGAAGAGTTCAGTAGACTGTTTCTGAGCATGCTGGGCTGCCTGCAGCACCCCCCACAAAAAGAGAAGACAAGACCACCTTAATAGATATTTCAACAAGCTTGTTTGGCTTTGATTTTCATACTTTCTTTTTCCTATTACCTGTCCCCTAGAATAATTAGATCTAAAAGGAAATCCTACATGTAGCACAGGTGAAGTATGAAGTCACTTTTACTACCACTCTCAGAATAAAACTGATACTTAAGTAAAAAAACCCCAAAAGCATTATAAATAAAAGTGAAGTGATACTATGTTATTGTAGTACCGAAAAGCTGCAATCAGGACTGGTATCCCATTCCGTTGGGCAGCATACAAACGTCCGGAGAGACGTACAATGACCATCTTACCCGGTTTCTGTTATTAATGTGTCTGCACAATTCCTGAAGATCCTTATTACTGAATACATAATCCTTAACATCTCCTTTAGTTTCCTTTGGAGTCGCTGCCATCAAGAGTCTGTGGACAACAATATCAGCGTATCTTCTAATTGGAGAAGTGAAATGAGTGTATTTATCTAAGGCAAGTCCTACAAATAAAAAAGGAAGCGGTGATAAGCAATCTACTGCCTCCCCCCAACACTTCAGAAATAACAACTGGAATAGCATAAAAAATAAAGTGACAAGATACCATAATGATGAAAGTCTTCCTCGGGACAAGAGCCAGTTGAGAAGTACAATGCATTAGACATTGCGTGAGTGGCCATAGATCGCAACAGTTTATTTACAATTGGATCCAGTGGGTCATTTGCTTTATCCAGGGACTCGGCCAATGCTTTGTTGGACCTGTCAAAAAAGTGTTAATTCTGAAGAAAATTACGCTGTGCCTGATCGTAATAGCCTACAGTTAAAAAAAGCATACAGAAGCACATAAAAATTTATTAATAATTATTAATATAAAAATATGAATGACAAGCAGAATGATATTAAAACTTTCACCACAGTTTAATAACAGCTCTGCTCTAGAAAAATGTTTAGAAAACCCCCCAGTTTTCACCAACAGGCCTGTCTTCTGCAACCTGGAGAACCAAGGAGGACTGGAGCAAAAGCCACTTCTGTGCAGTACAGAAAAGACAGTGAGCTGGTCCAAAACCTGTTCTGGTTTGGACCAGAAATGGGACAAATTTGTCCCACAAATGGGACAAGGTGCCATCCAAATAAAAGGAGGCACTACTGATGCCCTTCACACTTTATGTCGTCCAGGAATGATGCCTCCCAATGTGATGAAGCTCACAGCTTTCTCATAGTATCTTGACAAAGTAATTCCAAATTATTATGAGTAATTTAAAATGTCTACCTTGCACAGAATTAGCTTGCTTTAAACAAGTACTCTCTTACGCTACTATTACAGGAAATATGGTGCAAACAAGGCTATTACAGAGCTTAACCACTATATACCGACTGAACAAATTCTTTTTGGATGTGTCTAAAATTATTCAGATACTGCCATTTTCAGTCCAGGCAGCAGAATGCAGGCAGCCTCTCTCGTTTAGAACATCATCGCCTGCTTACAGAAAGGTTATGGTGAATTTTCCTTTAAGAATTGCTATACAGTGTCTATTAACATTGATACTGAGAACTGTAATGCTTCATGATGATAACATAGCCAAACAGTAAGTTGCTTAACTTTAATTAGCTTAAGATAAGTATAAAAGATACCCTGTGTCTATTGAGAAACCTTTGGCACCGGCACATTCTCGAAGTTCAGTAAAGAATTCCTGTCGTGGTGGAGGGTGCTGACGCAACAAAGCTTGATGAGGAAAATTTTCTGAAATCTTTTTTGCCACCCAGTGGTTGGCAAGAATCATACATTCTGCTACAGTCTCATGCACCTCCAGCGGCTGCTTGGGGATGAGATCGTGGATATTATTTTTATCATCCAGTTGCACTCGGATTTCTACGCCTTCTAGTTCCAGAGCACCACAGCTGTCCCGCTTAGCTCTAACGTGTCGTGCTATATCTGTGAGTTTTGATACTGCCCAAACCAGTTCATCCAGCTTCTTCTGTCTAGTTCTTTCATCCAAGTTTTTCAGTTCCAGGATATCACCAACAACACTTGTGTCTCCATCTAATAATCCCTGTGCTGCTTCGTAAACTAGCTTGTACGCAGATCGAATGATGGTTTTGTTGTAGCAGACTTGCAGCATTTCGTATGATTCTTTTTCTAGTTCCCACAAGACACTTACAGCATACCTTAAAGATAAGATCACAATTCTATAAATAGTTCTGGTTGACTTAAACTATCATTTCAAGCACATCCAACTGTTACAAATTTACACATTTCATTCTGATTTTTTTTACTGGAAACATCTTTTTCTTCATGAAACAAACCAGTGCTCAGCAATGCCGCTAATTAATACATTTGCCTTTCAGTCTCGTGTATCACAACTTAATAAATGAGGACCAACTATGTCAGCACCTGTTGAGGCAGAGTACCCCTAAGATATAAGGCCACATCTATTCTGAAGCACAGCTACACCGCAGTAGTTATTTTCATTCATTTTTATTGTATTAGCCAGATGCATCCACAATGAACATATCTACACCCTGCATATCCTCATGCCAGCCAGCCAACTAACCCTGTGAATTGTAATAAAATGGGGTAACGGCATGTTTGAGGAATAGGACAATAGTAAAAAGCGTGACCGTTCACATGGGT